TAAATAAGGCTGATGAATGGGCAGCAACAAAAGCAAAAATAATAGTAAAGTTGCAAAAAACTCGCAAGCAGATGCTGGCTTGCCAACAAAAAAAAATAATAATAATAAAAACACAGAAGAAAACCGTAACGACGCCAAGCCGGTTAGCATAAAGGCTGCTGTAGCGAATTGATTGGTATGATTGCGGCGGCGAGCAACTTAATGCATACATACATATATATATGTACATTCATGCATACCTACTTACAGCTGAATGTGAGGTGAGGTGAGCGCATACCGCCTGTGCAGATTTGGCTTTTTCTTAGTCGACGCTGGTTATCTAAATAAGGCAAGTCTAACTGCAACTGCACAAAAGCAAAGCAAGCCGGATATCAAGCCACAAATACAAATACATATGTATGTATGTACGTATATAAAAGCACAACGCGTTAGATTTTGAAAGATCAAGAATGGTTTACGAACTTGGCTAGGCATACCACAAGCAGTTAGCTGGCTGGATAAATGAATTTGAAAGGTATTCACTCGATTGAATGCAGGGGTATATGTGTGTGCACTAGGGTGGCCCAATACCTAGTTACTATAAAAATATGGTTAAATAAATAACTGGTTATATTATTGGGAATCTCCACAAGAGCAGCAGTTTTTCAGATTAAAAAATATTGATTTTCAAGAATTCTATACCATTTCTACCAAAGGTTGTTTTTTTCCAATATAAAATAAATGGAAAACTTTGAGCGCTTTAAGCTAACACTAAAAATTTTTTGATTTCAAAATTCAAAAAAAAATATAGGGGTCTACATTTTTCGGTATAGAACAATCCTAGGGGGTGCGAGCATAAAAATTTCGCCTTTACTTTTTCACATGCATTTTTGCACTACCCTTGTGTGCATACATAGCTGCAAGGTCATGAGGCAATAAAAAATTGCAACCACGTTGCAGCTTACCTGCCTATATACATATACATACATGCATATCTATGCAGAAAGAAAAAAAATGACTCGAGGCTGTCTGGCTTGCCATTGATTACCCACGCTACGCAGTCGGTGCTCCTATACACACACTTACATACATACCCATTAATGCAGCAGCTGCTGGTTGTTGATATTGGGAGCGATGCCTGCAAACTTGAACGGCAATTTTAGAGTGTAAACGGAACCCGGAAGCGCTCAAGGGAATAAATAATGAAAATGATGATATTGGTAGGGCCGCTACTGGAGTAGAAGGAAACATTGTGGTAATAGCGGCACAAGGAATAGAGACGAATAAACTTTTTTTTATTTGCTTTTGAATCGAAAGCTACTTACTCATGTGTGTGAGACTTTTGCGGTAGCATAAACATCTACTTGTATGACAAAATATTATTTTTAATTAACGGATTCGACAGGTACATTTACGCACCAATGAAATTTTAGATTTAACCTTATTTTGTCAACAGGTTAAATTGTGTAAATTTAGCAGCTGTCCATACAACAATTGAAAAATTTTGTCGTTGTCTTAAATGATTTTTCAATAACTATCTTATTTAAAGCTATATAATACCAATTTAGCGCGCTCTGCTTCGATTCAGCTGAATTCAGCGACCAAAATATAAATCCCAATTTACATTAGGGTTTTCAACGACTGCAATTGAATAGAAAAAATTTTAATTTGTGTGTAAAACTGCTTAAATTGTATATAGAACAAACATATTATAACTTAACTCAATCACTGACCAATTATAATTATAATTATTGTTATTCGGCGCATTTGATTTTCAGTTAATTCACATGAGCATAATTCAGCCGGCAGTGAAAACGAGATTTTGTCATAAAAAATCTTTTGGAAAATGGCCGAGCACTTTCTAGTTCAATTCAGCTAGCTGATTGAGCGTCCTTAAGTTCTATGCTGCACATTACAGAGAAAATGGTCTCAATTCAGCGGAAGCTTAAAATACATACATACAGTAAAAGCTCTATCTGACCTCCTCTGATTTAAACAAAAAATAAACATTTGTGTGTAAAGCTGCTGAAATGTTGTCAGCCTAGCACAAAAAGGCTGTTTTTAGACATGAGCGCAACTTTGATTCAATATCGCTTTGCGATTATTTGGTTTAATTCAGTCGCTATTAAATACTTATGCAGCACTATTAATTACATATTCACCGGATCATATTGATAATTGCATTTATATGGCAATTTAATGCAACTCAATTCTTTGTAGGCATATTTTAAATCGTAGTCAGCACGGTTTGTTTAGCTTTTCTTAACCTATGAAATGTATTTAGCTAAAAATTTTACGCAATTCGAATAATCCAAACGAAGTTTTCCGAAGCAGTTTAAGTAATTCAGTACTGGTTAAAAATATTACGTAATTCAGCGCTACTTAAATTCGAATTCAGCTTCTCTTTCTCAAACTCCGCCTCATTCAGCGGAATTTTTGCAATCAACCTAATGAGGGACGTTACTAAAATAGCTTTCGTTACGCAATTAAAGCTTTTATTATAAAGCAGCTTTAACTTTTACAGAGCTTTTTTAAACGAGCTGAATATGTGTCCGGCTATGCATCCCCCGCAAAATTCAAAAATCTAACAGAAAAAACATAGCACTAGTAAACCAATGATTCAAAGCTTTAAAAAGCTTTAACTCATTTGAAGAAATACATTGGTTGCCTTGAATATTTTAAAGGCTTTCTTAAATTATTTTAAAGTTTAAAGATTAAAAAGTATTTGAAATAGTATAATAAAATCATTAGCAACCATTTTCAAAAATATAATGATTCCTGTAAAATCCCTTTTGAAGAAAACTCAATCAGCGAAGAGACAGGAAAGCTCCTACTCAGTATACGTCTATCAAAAAAATGTATAAAAATGTCACAAAAGCTCTGCACGCGAGTCTTGATTAGAATTATATTGGCAGGGAGAGCTTTTACTCTTCAAAATATATAGAAAACCTAAAGAAAATACACGCGGCGAGGATGCTGTCCATCAACGATTTAGATACCTGATACCTTAATAATATTAGAATTTAACTTCCAGAAGCTTTAGTCTACAATGACATTTAAAAAGCTTTCTGAAAATAGAAAAGATGCTATCAAAACAATCTAAACACTTGATAGATTGAAAGATTAAGATTAAGATTTCTGAAAAAAATAGCAAGCTGTACACTTCATTTAGATCTCAGAACATACTAAAATGTTTGTGATTTAACTTTAAGAAAAACCCGGAAAGTTGGAAGGGAAATATGTTTTCAGCAAATTTTTGGCTAATTTGGAATTCAATAAGTTTTTCGAATGCTTTTAGATTTACACAGTAAGTAAAAGGCAAATAAAACGACATTGTGCTGGTTAATATTCAAAGAGATTTTCGAATCCCTCCTATAATAAGATTTCAGAATGTTTATCAGATACTTTCGAAAAAGTATGGAAGGTTTTAGATCCATTAGGTTTTTAAATAGGCACCAAAAGCTTTTACAAAGTTCTAAAACTCTTGCAAACTCTATGGGCTTATTTAAAAATCTAGAAAGCAATATAAAGCTGTATACTTCAATAAACTTTCTGAAAGTATTAAAACGATTAAGATTAAACTGAAAAAAAAATACTTAAAAGCTGGGGCATTAAATAAGCTTTTAGAAAGTTCTTAGAAACCTTAATTTTCAAGCAGCTTTCCGTATGCTTGATACATGCTATTAGCTTTTAGAGTGTTTGAAGAACTTAATAGATCTCAAGCACTTTCGAGAAATTCTAGAACGACCTTTGATGAAGTAAACTTTTAAATAGGCACTCAGTTTGATAGTGAGCCTCTCAGACATTTTGAATATTAAATATGAAAATGCTTTTATAAAAATCTTGAAGGCTTTTAGAGGGTATAAGAAGGCTTATAAATGTAGCTTTCAAAAACACCGATAAGGTATACATAGCTTGAAATAGGCTTTCAGAATGTGTTTAAAAGCTTGAGTATTCAATAAGTTTTCTCAAAGTTCTTATTGTTATAACTTCAATGCTGCCTCCAAAGTTCTTAGATAGCTGCATATCGTTTACTCGAATCAATCTCGTTAACTGAAATTATGCCTTCTAAAGCTTTTCCCTATCTTGTGTCTTTCCGATTTATAACATTGCACTAAGTTAATAGAATCAACCAAATGCTGTTCAAATCTGTAAAGTATGTGCATATATTTTTTAAATTATTAACAAAAACAAAACCTTCACCGAAAACGAGAAAATATTTCTAAAATAATATTCAACAATTTCGCCACATTTTTGCCCTGCATTGCACATTTTGCTCTCTAATGCCGATTTGGTTTCTACCGAAAAATGCAACCTTCTCTTTGCCCGCTTCGCACAAACACTAAGAAGAGAACGAGGAGAAGGCAACATTTTTTGTA